CATTTTGATCGTGATCCTCCCTTGATAATTGGTACTATGCTGGAGCGGCTCCAGCCGGTTGGTACAGTTTCCTGTTACCACAGTTGGACTAGTACCTAGTATTAATCATCCACAAGAGCAGGTCCCCCGATTTTGAAGAGGGCTGGAGGAAGATCACCTGGTTCCACGGCTTTGTTCAACTTCAACAGTCCGATCTCATGTTCGACTTCTGAGCGAGAGGGTGGATCCAAAGGGACAGCCCAAGGAGCGGGGCGATCAGTGGCCGGCGAGAAATCTTACCATTCCGACAGATTAAATTGCCTTTCAAAGTGCTCAGCCCAACGCTCAAAGCGTTTTGACAAGTTGTGGATAGGCTATCCACTCTCGTCAGGTATAGTTTTACTAACTCCAGGTCATCTGCTTCCCGTTTCCCGTATCAGCCGGAACAACTTACGATGGTTACCAAAGGCAGCGGCCATTTTCATCTCTGATGCACGATGAGACCACCAGGATTCGTGGTCTCTGGTTAGGCTAGCACGGAGTTTTGTCCGGAGCTCTTTGCGAGTTTCATTGTGTTCGCTTCCAGCCAGAATATGTCGGCAAGCAACTATAAGTTCCAGAGACTGTGAAGAGACCCAATGTCCATGTTGACGATTAGACTTACCACAGGAGGATTTGCCTGCTTCTAGTAAGATCAGTGAGCTTCAGCTGTATCCAGTGAGCTTTTACTCAACTCGCATGACAGCGTAATTTGATAGGCATTTAGAACAGCTGGTTTCGCCAGTTGACTGGTATCAATGCGCTCACAGCGTCCTCTTGGGCGTCCACCAAAATATATCCGCATGTCAGCACATACAAGTGCATGATCGGTGTCCACGCATGTGCTCCAAATCGAGTGACAGTCGTGGACGCAGCCTCTCCATCGGTAAATTATCGCAATGTGATCGATTTGCGTCCATAGCTGGTTCGAGGCTGGTGGGCGCCAAGTCACCCTCCGGCGGGTGCTGTGTCGAAAATTAGTTCTCGCAAGAAATAAGCGAGCATCTTCACACAAATGGAGTAACCGCTCACCGTTATCATTACGCGAGCCTACACCATGTTGGCCGCCCAGATGCAGTTCATCAGTGGATAATTTTCCAACTTGAACATCCAGATCCCCGGCCAGCACAACAGTGTCCGTGTTTCTTCTGTGTCAACGGAGCTCGTTCAATTGGCGATGGAAGTCGTCTTTTACCGAATCGTCGCTAGAGTTTGTGGGTGCATAGGCAGTGATGACGAATAGACATCTGTTAGTCCCGCGAGACTTCGAAGCTTTGAGCGAGCCAGCCCATGGGATCGCACACAACCGGCTACTGATTGGAATCCAATCAACCGGAGCAGCTTCAGCCCGGCGACTCAGGGCAACGCCAACACCAGCTTGGCATGTGCTCGAAGCCGCATCGTTACCGAATAGGCGCAATGAGGAAGTGAAGATGGTTTCACCAGAAGGGGATCGCTGAGTGAGCACAGAGCTCGAGTTTTGCAGGCGGGTCTCTGATAAGCAGCAGATATCGATGGAGAGGGTCTCTAAGGTTCGGGCAAGTGCTGCTTGTTGACCGGTCTCTAGCAACGTGCGTACATTGAGGCATGCCAATCTGAAGGATAATCGAGGGCTCCAAATGGAAGTCAATGAACTGGGTTTGGCCGCTGGATTGAACCTGGGCTTGTCGACAGGACAGGATTGACACTCCGTGTATACATCTGGGTTAAAACTAGAAGGTAAAGGCCTAGCAAAGCAAGGTGGGAGCGGACTTAGAATCTGGGGGTTGAAAACATGGGGGATGAAAGTGAAGTTGGAAGGGACGGTAAGGTAGCAAAAGCGTAAGAAGTGGAATTAGAAGATGGAAAGGCTTGAGCAGTGGCATCCAAACTCTATCCACCCTGCTCAATGCAGCAGATAGGGCGCCGTTAATTATCCTCTGCGGTGGCCAGAGCATCAACTGTTTGAAGAGAAATTCATTATATTGCGGGGGCAGAATACTATCAGTTTGCCCAGGGCTTGACAGAAGAACGATTTGGGCTTTAAACCAAAGCTTTTGGTTCAAAAACCTTACCGCAAGGCAGCAGATTAGGTGTTGGGCTAAAAGGAGTCCGTTTTAAGGAATAAGGAGCCAACTCATTCCAACCCCTAACCTGGAAGACCAGGTGGCTGAGTTTGTTTGGTCTCTAACCATTGACCAATCTGGTATGAGTGGCTCTGAAGATGCAAAAAATGTACCACCCAATATAGCTCAATGTATCGCTGAGACACACAAACCATCGCACCACGGTAAGGTCCAGCCTCATTGCGATGGGCTCGTCCCAACAACAGTTTCCATAGTTAGGTGTCGGACAGGCAATATTGCTACAAAATCTGGCGGAACTGGAGGCTGAATCGGCTAAACCGACTGCTGAATTACTAACTCGATTTGATAGATATTGTGATAAACTTATAACCGATTTATCATACAGTCCACATACACAAAAATTGCCAAGCAGGTCAGATATCCTATCTGCAACACCTCCTACTCGCGAAACAGTTGATTCAACCGTTTTCTTAGTTAGGTATGTAAATGCATTCTCACAAAATGTTGTTGGGACGAAAAATGCTCGTCCTAACAACGTTTTGTGAGAATGCATTTACAGATCTAACTAAGGAAACCGTTGAATCAAATGTTACACAAGTAGGAGATGTTTCAGATAGGATATCTGACATGCGTGGCACTTTTGGTTATGTGGACTGTATGATAAATCGGTTATAAGTTTATCATAATATCTGTTAAATCGAGTTAGTAATTCAGCAGTCGGTTTAGCCGATTCAGCCTCCACTTCCGCCAGAGTTTGTGGCAATTATGTTGAACTCAATGAAAATATTGCCTGTACGACATCCCATGTTGGAACACCGGCTTATAATTAACACACTGCATACTACTGATGTGGACATGTTGAAGTTTAGAAGTCAGCTATTAGCGGATGAAAGCTATGAGCCACATATTAGCGTCGTATTTACCTATCATTCCCAAGCAATTCCTGCTCAGCCTCATCTAAGCAGGAGTCTCAGTGCTATTGCAATGATATATATATATATATATATATATATATATATATATATATACATGGATTCGACGCGGATACCGAAACTACTATTATATGCTCAGCTGAGTATTGGGAAGCGGTATGTGGGCAAACCAAAGTTACGTTTCCAGGACATGATAAAAGTGAGTCTCTCACGTTCTAATCTTGATTGCAGGTCATGCGAATCGAAGGCGGTTGATCGGCGTGCGTGGCGCGATCTAATCACGAAGGCAGTTGTCGAAGTGAGGGAGAAAGACCTCATACATGCAGAGAAGAAGCGACAAGTGCAGAAGCGGCAAGCACCGATGGGTTGTACCCATCGACATCGAGCACATGGTGCTGTAGCACATGCGGTCGCGAGTGCCTGAGTCAAGCAGGCCTAGTGAGCTATGACAGAGGCTAATCAGGACCACTACCAAATCGACGACAGGTCCTGCAGAGAACGTAGGCAGAACGGGCGCAGCGTTTGTAGGCACGCTGAATTCGATTTACTAACCCCGTGCTTGCATGCTAAGTTTATTTATTTCAGGTGGTGGGTTTTCAATTTTGTCCTAATGCTTTTCTGTCTCAGATGAATGTCTACCTGTACTCTCTTCTATGAACTTGCACACGTCGCTTAAACCAATTGTAGTTAACTTCAGTAACATTTTCGTCTTTGTGGCATTCCGTAAAATATACTTTCCGACCTCGTGAACTTATCTCGGATTCGTTTGTAGACAGGTTATTTCATATGCTTATTAATTTAAGATTTTTGTCACCGTTTCCTTGTACATTGCTCGATTTATTTTATTTGGTATCTTTCACACAAGTGATTGGCTGTTGCTTGATATCCCCGGTGTGGCTGCGCTTGATGTGCATGTTGACAAGGTGCCTACTTGTCTATTACCCACCACCTCGTCCATACTGGCTCCAGGAGACAGTAGGTCGTAGCTGGAGCGGACGGGGTGCATGGTCCTTGTGGCCATGTTAGGATAAAAGCGTGGTTCCATGCACTCAGTGTGGAGCGGACTACGGTCCAGCCACCGCCTTGTGTGCACTTGATTCCCCAAATATAGCGTGCTTGTGTTTATCTGTGAAAGAGTGTGGGCCGGTTTCGTTGATGAAACCTGGCTCCCATCCACATGCCTCCCGGTCTTATTGCTTCGGGTTTACACTGGATATGGGGTGTGTGGATGGAGCTGTGGGTGATGAAGCGCAAGCCACCCATGGTCCCTCTGTAGGCGCAGGCGTCCTGTGGCTAGCCGCAGTGACATGATTTGATCCTTGGCTTTGTCAGTGCCTGTGTTCTTCCACACTGAACGTACTGCTCCCCTTTGGTTTTTCCCGGTTTTCTGGGTAAATACTTTATAGTTTTTATCAGGTCATTACGGCACTTATCCCGATATATCGGAGTCCGGATGCCCACATTTGCCAACACAACTCTGTCTAACTCAAATTCTTATGAGAACCTGGCCTCTAAGCTAGTGGCCGACACAAGTCATCTCCTTCATAACGCGTTAGCTGAATGTCTGTAAACTTCGTCTATTAGGCAGAAGTTTAAGTTAAAATTTGCTCGCAGAAATGACTATAGCTAGCAGGTCATTCATGAGTTTCCATATTTTCTGCGAGACCCCAGCTCTGTTGTTGTAGACCTAATCAGCCGATTTTTAATATGATTGCGCTCCTGTCTATTCTTTACCAAACTTCTTTAACAGTACAGGTTTGTAACTGATTTGTATTTTAATACATCGCTTAGACCGTGTGTGCTGTAGCGGAATATTCTTCCACTAAGACTTCATAAGCCGATTTTCTGGACTTGACTATCTTTTCTTGCGATCGTTCTTGATAAGGCTGAATTTACCGCTTAGCCAAATTTTCGCTCGATTCAAAACAAGCTTATTTGCTAAACTTATCATTGTTGTTCTTGTCCGAATCTTTTATTTGCGCAGTTCGAAATTTTGTTTTGCGTGAAGGATGAGAATGATCCAGTAATCGATTTGGTCAATTCCTTACGCGGAGAGTACCCGCTGGTTGACTCGCGATTGATCATTGGCAAGTATCTTTATTAACACATCATTTCACTAGTGATTTCGTCTGAGTTCGTTCTTTGTCAAAATCGACCTGCTCTATGCTGACTTGTTTTATCTCCTCATGCTTAGGTGTTGTTTTCTCTACATCTTATGTTCAGTATGAGGCGATATAATATATTCCTTTTTTTGGACCCATAAGCTGCAAGCTGCGTTGAATGTCACCGCTTCACTGGCAATGAGTGACCAACTCATACCCGAGATGTCAAGTTCAAGTTCAAGGGGGACCGGAACAGTAGAATAATCTCATGAATGTTCCACTCAGTAAAACGTCGTTGACCCCAGAGTGCAATGTGCGGAGCGAGTTGCAAGGAGCCAAAGCAACACGCACGACACACTCTATTGTCCATTAAACAATGTTCACGTGCCCTGCACCAGCAGTCCCTGCTGTGCCGGCCACGTGAAATGAACTAAAAGTGGAAGAAGAACAAACAAAAGGCAAACTAGAGCAATGAGCGTAACAATTTTGGAATGCAAATGAGAAGTTAAAATAGTGTAAGCGTCAACAGATAAGAGCAAAGCTAAAGTGTGAGAGGGAAGCTTTTAAACTGCCGACCAAGGGCGTCAAGTCGATGCTCGAACTCTCACCGTTTGCGCCATCACTACTTCAGCGGGCAGTGCATTCTAAGTGTCTATAACTCGGCGTGCTAACCAAGAATCAGTCCCAACCCGATCCGAAGGGGGTTCGAATCCGCGTATGGGATGGGCGTCCTCGCGGTATACTCAGCCCGCGCGCGACTGGTGGTTGTCCCGCGGCAGCGAAGCGCCGTTAAGGTGTACAGCCGACACATTATTATTAGTATTTTGCGAACATTTCGCTTGTCATGATCCCGAATGATCTGCGGATCATGCACAACACATCAAAACCTTTGCAAGCAGCTATCATCCAGTGTTCACTGGACTTAAAATCAGACGACAGCAAGACGCCTGGGTCAGCTTGTAGTGACACCTGAGAAACTTCAATACCCCCGAATAACTAGTGCATTAGTGAGTCATTTGATCTTACTCGCAAAACTAAGCATTTAGCGAGATTAACAGGCAACTGCAACAAAACGGACCAGTTCCATAGTCTATCTAGTGCCCTGTGTAGAGTCACTGGACCACTAGGATCATTTACAGTAGACCAGAACTTTAACTCGTCCGCGAAAAGTAGAGATGGCACTCCCATTTCGTCCGGTAAGTCTTTAACGAACAAGCTGAGTAGCAGAGGGTCAAGGACGACCCTTGCGGAACACCGCTGTGAACACACAAAATTTGAAGACAGACTGGAGCCCACAGGAACACACATCTCCCTTCCAGTTAAAAAAACCGAAATCCATTTCAAGACTGGCCCAGAGATACCATAAGTGCAAGTTGAACAAAAGGCTAGAGTGTGCAAGAGTGTCAAAAGCTTTTTCTTGAGCAACCTCATCGGCGCAGTGTTCGTGGGCAACTAACTAGTTAGTAAGGCAAGAATTTCCTTTGAGAAAACCGTGTTGGGAGAAACTGAGCAGCCCACACACCCTTAAATGGTTTTCAAGTGCATCCCTCACAAGTTTTTCCATGAGTTTGACCAACACGCTGATTAGACTAACAAGTTTGTAGTTCTCAGAGAGGTGTTTGTCACCCTTTTCAAAAACCGCGCATACAACGGCTTTTTTTAGTCCTCAGGTAGAGAACAGCTGCGCAGTGACTTCTCAAACAGTCGCTTAATTGGACAGCAAAGTTCGTCTGCCAACTCACACAATGGTTCGGGGTGGATAGCGTCCAATCCTGCTGCCTCAGTAGGATTTATCTCTCGTATTATCTTGAGCACCTTGGCCTTCGATTTGGAAACCACCTACAGATAAGCGTCTACAGAAAGCTTACCTTTCAAAATAATGCTCGACAGGTGCGACTCTCGGACAAATACACTTGCATACGGTTCTCCAAGCTAGGATCCCTTGTCAAGATTGGCGACAGCAGCAGAGCTGTCTGGACCGAACAACACCGGGATGGACAGGCTCATGTTGTCTCGCCTTTTAATGTAAGGAAATAAGCATTTTGGGTTTGACGAGGATGTACGCGCAAGCTCCATTTCACGTTTTAACCGAGCACGTCACAGATAATGCCTGTATGCGTTTCGAACTTCTTGGTACTTTTGGAGGGTGCAAGCCGAAGGAGCAGAGACAAAGGCAAGCCAACATCTGGTCTGTCTCTTATGCAACTTTCTCGCCGCGGAATCAAACCAGGGTGGCTTGGCTTCAGTTTTATTCCTCACAGAAACCGGTATGTAAGGTAGAGACAACTCAGATAAATAGGAATTGAATGTGGCCCAGGATGTTTGAATCTTGTCAGTGTCTGAAATGCTGCAAGGTGAATTGGCGGCCTTTGCTTTCATTGCTTGAAAATCGGCACACCATTTGTTTGGTCTTCGGATGAAATATATGAGAGTATTTTGATCCAAATGTCTATATTTGTCTACTCATATCGCCAAACGTTTTCCAAGGTTATAAGACAATACTTTTATGCCCTCAGACAAAAGGCTTTCCGTACCACGTGATTTAATTTTTAAATTTGTGACTGCATGCATTCCGCCTCACTGGTTTTACGGTTCCCCAGTATATTTTATGGACTACTACCAAATGATTACCTATTGTTCTTACATTCGCTAAAACTTATTTCTAGGTGCATTGGATTGTCCGGAGAGGCTGTTGTTGATTTTATTGTCGAAAATATGTAGACGCGTGCGTTCGATATTTCTTATAGTTTTAAACGACCGTATCCACCCACTATATGCTTCTCGATCAGAAGCATTGTCTGTTCCTTCTACACACTTTATATTTAGGCTTATTTTCTCGTACTGATTCTTGCAACAATTCTATCGTACCGTACCCGTCGCGACTACTTGTCGACCCAACGTAACTCAACAGCGTGATAAGCAGTCCTTTGCTTGAGTGACACGCGAACACTTATTGTGTTATATACCTTATTTGCATTTATTCACTAATTTAATGTATTTCCTCATTCACAGGGACAGTGTAAAATGCTGAAAATGTAACCTACCCAAATGCATAAAGCCTATGTTGGCTTGCCTTGATTTCCAAGTGGAACGAGAGATGCAGCTTTTGAGATTGCACAAGTCTGCCGTACCTGGTGCACTTCCTTTTTCGCTCTCTCTCTCTCTCTCGATTCAGTTGAATGGTTCAACTGATTTATAGGGGTTTCAAAAGCGTTAGGATACCAATCTTAGGGGAAGCAAACTATGTATTTTACCGGAAGCTATCGAACAGTGCGCAGTGTTTTAGTAAAACATCTAAAATGTAATTATCAGCTTTACTTCTAATGCATCCTATTCTATGATCTTATGACTGTAGTAGTATATGGGGCGTTACTTGAGAGCTTTACTCCCTGGAAATTGTGAAACAATTGTATATCACGGCTAAACAAGCCAAGACTTGACAAGTTCCGTGGCTGGTTTGTGTGATTATATCTAGCGGATTATTGACCAAATTCACTGATTCAACCAATCCCATTCCCAGCGTTCGCTTACCTGTCATGTTTACATTAGTCTTGTAATTACATTGGCCTAAAATGATTTGCCGAAAAGAGTCCTCTTCGCAAGTGTGATGCTTCAAATACATCAGTTCACAACAAGGTGACGAAAAAGTAAACCGCACATTTGTGGACTCAGCATATTATCCATGTTAATACATGTAAATTCGTCTACCCAGTTTTCTTGAGGGTTAGTGAGCACCGTGTTTGTCTGCGTCTTATCGGCATTAGATAAACAGAATTGAAACCAAGGAATGTAGCCTGTGAAGTGCAGCCTCGAGTGGTTTAAACATGTGTACTATTAGCGCAGAAATAACAAAGGCCATATTTGACAAATTCGAAGAGAAAAGTACTTCTGGTAGCTTATATGCATCGGTGCGTCTGTTGCGTACACGTACAGTTTTACGCTTGCCTGCGTTGAAAGGAATTAGGTTTGCATTTGATCATCCTAAAGCATGGTCCAAGTCTCGTTGGTTTACATCGTGATCTTCTTTACCACCGACTGCCAAGCACACCTTAATGTTATGGGAAAAAGCAAGAAATTCGACTCGATAGTAGTAGTCCCGCTTGAAGTTTGGGAGGATTGTAACACCGTCTACTGTTTGTTCTTCACTAGACCCATCATCTGATATTCATAAGCTATATCACGTAGGGTAAATGTGTCTGGGTAACGGAAAAGCGTTTTTTGAATAGACATAAGACGGAGCCTTTGATTGTATGCCTCAGGAGGGCGTTCTAGAGTTGCGACACTCGGAGGGAGGAAACGTTACATCGAGATTCCAGTCAGCGGTACCGCGTGGCCGACCTAAACTGATGAATTCTCAGAGATATGTTTTGACTGAGTTTACAAAGATAGTGGTATGTGTGATTGAGGTTTCCTTTGATCTAACGCACCATCATTAAATCCCCTCGTAGATGCCTAGAACGTCCGGCGTACATTTTATAGTTATCAGCCTGAGTGGGTAGGGAAGGCGGGATAACCCTTTAACGTCCTTCGTCGCCCTGCGTTGTGCACTATTGAGCGCGGTTGGGTGGTGCTTCCGTCAGGGTTGCCACGCTTGTATGGTGTATTCGGCGTGCGGCCTCCCGTACACTTCGTGCATTTTCTGTAAGACTGGGACGTCAAATTTCCCGAATGTTCTACGAATGTAGACGAAGTTCTAGTTTGCTTTCTTTGGGGCCTTTTCAGTTTGCCTCAAACAACCAAGGTCATTTTGTGCGAGCACGCTGAGAACGCAGTCATGAGATGTTCACTGTAGAATTTGTAGTTCCAGCCGGTAGTTGTGAGTGCTGTGACGATGTATGGTGAGAACTTTGCACTTGGTGGCGTTGAAGTGCGGCATGTCCTCGATGGCTCATGCGTACCCTTTGTCTAGCTCATCTAGTATGGTTGTGAAGTCCTCTGCTGAAACTGAGAATGAGACAGTGACTGTATTTAAAAGCAAGTAGAAAGGTTTTTGTACAACTCT